GGACAATGGAAACATCGTCATTGTTAACACTCCTATGGTATACATACACAATTTGCCCCTCAAAATCCAACTCTTCCTCGACCCACCCTTCCCGTTTCAGACCTCTAGCTACCCGATACCAAGCCTCTGTAACCTTTGTGAGTCCATTATCCAACAACAACCCTTCCTTGTCTATGAGTAACTTCCTCCAAAACTCAGGTTGCAATCTCCCACTGGGCGGCATCTAGAAGCCACATACCTTAGCAATCTTTCTAAGTTTCAACATTGCATCTTCCCTTGCCCTTTCTTTCACAATGTCACAAGCCAACAAGCAGGTCAAGCATGTTCCTGCCCCATCTTGAACAATCGGAGTGAGCCACGTGCTAGGGACAGATAAATAGAGGAGATACAAGGGAGAAGGAAAAGGAATGTCTACAGTGCTCGACTGCCACGAGGACTTGAGTCCCGTGCGTCTTCCCCAAACGTAGACTAGTCACGGGGGTCCGCCCACCCGGAGTGGTGGTCACGGACGGGAGCGAGCGAGCATGGGTGATTAACACAGCTCTGGGCAACAGGCACAGGAGAGATAAAGGACAAAGGAGAAAATGAACGTGGCTACGCTAATGAGAAGACATTTGCAGAAGTCACAAACATATAAATGAGCGTAAACTCCGGAATCCAGAACTAACCACACTATACACACACACACACCAAGGGTACCCACACTGTAACAACAATTAAACAAAAACCACAGAATGACAGAGAGTAAAATGGCCATGTACATGTTAACACCACTGGTGCCAAATATTCAAAATGTAGCAATCCCCAGCCCTCACCCACCAGGCTTGTCCCGGTATAACACAAGTACCAATGAAACACTGCAATAATCAAACAAAATCCCAGCCCCACCGGCTGTAATGCGTTCCCTGCCCGCTAGGCAGTCAAGCTAACATAAAATCCCAGCCCCACCGGCTGTAATGCGTTCCCTGCCCGCTAGGCAGTCAAGCTAAAATAAAATCCCAGCCCCACCGGCTGTAATGCGTTCCCTGCCCGCTAGGCAGTCAAGCTAAAATAAAATCCCAGCCCCACCGGCTGTAATGCGTTCCCTGCCTGCTAGGCAGTCAAGCTAACATATAAAATGCGTTGCCTGCCCGTTAGGCAGTCAAGCTAACATATAAAATGCGTTCCCTGCCCGCTAGGCAGTCAAGCTAACATATAAAATGCGTTCCCTGCCCGCTAGGCAGTCAAGCTAACATATAAAATGCGTTCCCTCCCCGCTAGGCAGTCAAGCTAACATATAAAATGCGTTCCCTGCCCGCTAGGCAGTCAAGCTAACATATAAAATGCGTTCCCTGCCCGCTAGGCAGTCAAGCTAACATATAAAATGCGTTCCCTGCCCGCTAGGCAGTCAAGCTAACATATAAAATGCGTTCCCTGCCCGCTAGGCAGTCAAGCTAACATATAAAATGCGTTCCCTGCCCGCTAGGCAGTCAAGCTATCATCTTTTAAAAGGGAGAAAAACACACACACACCGGCCGACACACACACATTCAAACAAATACAGGAGGCAGATAGACAATCGACAGGTTCACTTTAAAAAGGCACACCGGATGAGCTAATTACCTGTCTCTAGTAGCCTTCTGGAAGCCGGAAGTGGACTCGGAGACAGACCGACACAAAACAGGAGAATAACACAGGCAACGGCTGTATTATGGAGGTGATCAGGCTCCGCTTGTCCCACTTTCCGGAGGTCCGCTCCGGTCCGTTGGTTCCGGCCCTCCGAACCGGCCCTCCGGTGGCCCCACGTTGGGCGCCAATTGAAATGGAAAAATCAATACATTGATTATGTCTTTGTGTATCTGCCCCTGGCCAAATCAATGAAACAGTGCGTGCACGCTCCCTGAAGTAATTCACACCAGACACAGGTTCCAGGTTGTTGAATAACTTGAGGAATGTTTATTCAGAGGGGACGGCAGGTCCCTTTTAAAGCAAAATTACATTATAAGCATTGTCAGAGATAACATGGAATAATACATCAATAATTGGTTAGGTGTTAAGTGGTCGCTCTAATGCTCTGCCTACTGAAGGTGATGTCACCAGGGCCATGAGGGTCTCCCACAGTTTCCCGGCGCCATCTTGCTGCACGAGGTAGTTAGTTGGTGTTAGAGGGAGAGGGAGGGGAGGAGGGGTTAGAAGCTTCTAGCAGCCATTTTGATTAAAACTTGTGTGCTTAGCTTATATATATTGTGTATAGTGAAATGAGTAAATAGACATTTTCATTAACTTGGAAATATGTGCAGACCTTATTTCCACAACACAGACGTTGGTCTCTCTAACACTGGGGCATGTCCCCTTTCTTCTACACTCACTACATACACTACACTCACTACATACACCTTTACTCTGTCCCAGACTATATATCAGGAACGTCTGCCTGCTAGTAAGAAGGTAAGGAGACAAGTGGACATGTGAGTGCTAGGGGACAGTCCTTAGAAAGCTTGGAGTAGGTGCATCATTAGACTCATTTATGTCAAGCTCAGGGTGCTGCCTGCATAGTATGCCCTTAGTTGGACAGCCTGCATGATTGGCGGGCAGCCTGACATGCATTCATGCCAGGCTGGCCTTCCAATTCTTTGGGCAAACATTCCCCATTTTTGTGCACGTTCACCTTTCTGGTCATGTGATTCGCGTCAGTGGCCCACCCTTTTACCCCGCCCATTGACTAACTTCTTCACTGGACACTGCTGTTAGGGGGTATGGATTTACTTGAAAGATGAAAGCATAAATTAGAGAGAGATTAGCATAGAGTATGTTTTTTCTTATAGCTGCATCCTATGAGTTTCCCTCCAGCACCATCTCCATCAGATACATGATGCTTGGGAGGTATGACTGTTTTAGTGTTTTTGATTGATAAGATTCTGTAATTAAGCCCATCATAATTGTCAGCACCAGGCCCACTAGGCTCTTTATCTGGCCCTGGGTGTGGCCAGCACATTTACTATCGTAAAAAAAATGCAAAGGATTTCACTTCTTTATGTAAGAGGAACGTACTCTGGAGGAGCTTGGGCTTGTGCTGCGTGAATTTTGTTATTATACAAAGAGGATAAAGAGAGTACAGCGATGGCAATGATATGCTCAGAAGGAACAACTGGAGAGATCATGTCCTTATCATTTTCAGTTTCATATTGTCTAGACAAGGCATCGGCCTTCACGTTACGAGCAGGGCCAGATTAAGAGCTAGGTGGGCCTGGTGCTGACAATTATGATGGGCCTGATTACAGAATCTTATCGACCAAAAACACTAAAACAGTCATACCTCTCAAGCGTCATGTATGTGATGGAGTTTGTGTTGGAGGGAAACTCATAGGATGCAGCTATAAGAAAACACATTGTCTATGCTAATCTTTCTCTAATTTATGCTTCCATCTTTCAAGTAAATCCATACCCCCTAAAAGCAGTGTCCAGTGAAGCAGGATGTCAATGGGCGGGGTAAAAGGGTGGGCAACTGATGCGAATTACGTGACCAGAACTGCCAAAAGGGGCAAACATGCCCAAAAAGGGGGCATGTCTGTCCAAAGAATTGGGGGGCCAGCTTGGCATCAGTGTCCCTATGTATAACAGTGTCAGTGTCCCCATGTCGCCCAGTCCCCTAGTTTCCCAGTGTCCCCATGTCTCAGTGTGTCCCGTGTCACTAGGATACTACTGAGAGACATGGGGACACTGAGACACTTGGGGCACTGGGAGACATGGGGGCACTGAGACACTTGGGGACACTGAGATATGTCTCAGTGTCTCCATGTGCCCCCTAGCGTCTTAGTGTTCCCATGTCTCCCTGCTGCCTTTCCCTCCATCCTTCACTTACCTGAGCTGTAGTCTGTCTCTGCAGGCTGGGAGCTCTGTCTGGACTATCTGTGCTGTGTAGCTGCTCCCATGTGGATCAGTGATTAGAGAGAGGCAGGGAGATGCTGTAATTTCCAATGCTTGGCTCTCTCCATACACAGTGACCCGTACTGGTATTGCAGGGTAATCTCCATTTATACTGAGAAAATATTTGCCTTTGTATTGCCGATATTACTGCAATACCGTCACGCCCAGGCAGCCTCAAATACCGGCTGTGCTTTAAAATACCAGTCAGATGGCAAACCTAAGAGTAGTGTGTTTTTTTTAAAATGGGCCTATTCCATGGGCCTGGGCCTGGGCCTGGAGCTGTTACGAGTACCAGGTCTATGTGAGAATATAGTTAAATCAAGAAAGGAACAAAGGCCATCGAGCTTGTCTAGAAGAGAGGCGTTTAGCATCACTTATATAAACCAGGTTTTTGTGGTCAGTTATGATGATGATGGGCATACCAGATCCCTCGAGTCTAGTATATGTTTTCAATGTTTCAGTGCAAGGATAATGGCCAATAATTCACAATTAGCAATGTCGTAATCTATCTTGGCAGGGGAAAATTTATCAGAGAAGAATCTGCAAGGATGTAGAGATTTCTCTTGGCATTCCCTTTGGAAAAGAACGTCTCCAACACCCGTTTCAGAGGCATCTACTTCTAAGACAAAGGGTTTAGCTTAATCAGGATGGACAAGAACAGGAGCAGCCGCAAATAACCTTTTTAAATGTTCAAAGGCTAAGATGGCCTCTGGAAATCATGAATGTGTGTTGGCTCCCTTACGAGTGAGACTAGTAATGGGAGCTTATTGATAATGAAATATTGATGCATACTGTGATGAATCTCCTTGACCTTTCTCTTACAGGTCAGCATATGCTGACTTAATTCTGCATGGTAGTAAAGTTTGTCGTAATGTTAGGATAACATATGTCCCAATATGCAGAATAAAGTAAACTAAAATAAATAAAAAGGAAAAACCAAAGAAACATATTACCGGGCCTTAGAATGGCCCAATTGAATGTAAAAGAGAATGGTCAAGGACAAGCTGAGGTTAGGGACGCAGAAAGAGACAAGAACGAGAATACAAGCCAAAGGGTCAAGGATACCAGAATACGGGAATATTCAAGAACAAGCCAAAGTCAAAATACGAGATAAACAAGATGAATGCACTCTCTGATAACCACAAGTGGAAACCACGAAGGTACGTGCCGCAGGTAAGCGTGACCCGTGGGCGGTGTGACAGTATCTAAGATTTCCCTGTGGGGTATTATTCATTGTATTTGTGCACAAGTCTACTACCTATCAGAATGATCACGTGTTTACTAATTTGCTTCATCTGCACATTCCATTAACTGATATTTGTTTGGACTGGATAATATAGAATGACATACATATTAACCAATTCCTACCTTCCAACATGTCAAATGGACAAGGAGGGATACTTGAATTTTAGGGGTATGACTGGGGGTTATTAAACGAACATGTTATTTATAACACGATCAAAGTATTTAATATACACAGACTGGTTCCTAATCTATTTTAGTTTAAAGGGAAACTCCAGTGCCAGTAAAACAATACATTTTCCTGGCACTGCAGGTCCCCTCTCCCTCCCACCCCCTGATCCCCGGTTGCTGGTAGACAGCCACTAGAGGTGGAGTTAACCCTGCAAGGTAATTATTGCAGTTTATAAAAAACTGCAATAATTACACTTGCAGGGTTAAGAGTAGTGGTAGTTGGCACCCAGACCACTCCAATGGGCAGAAGTGGTCTGGGTGCCTGAGTGTCCCTTTAAAGACACCTTGCTGTGAGTATTATTACTGTGGAGTTTAGACACACCAACAATATGTAACTCCTAGAAAAGAGGAACATTATTATAGAAAAGAGGGACAGAGGGATTTGGGCCTAAAATAGAGACTGTACCTTCCAAATAGGGACATCAGAGAGGTATGATTACCAATTGCTCTATGGATCCAACTATTTAAACTAATAACAGGGAGAGCTTTGTTTCTCCTGATGACCTAACAGATAGAGTAATGCGTGTAAGGCTTTCATTTAGTTCCAATAGATTTCTGATTATACATTTATAGAAATGACAATGTATAGAATATGTATTTTTGTAGCTCAGAATATGATAGCAAACTGTGGGCTCTAGATTTTGGGTGTCTCTGATAAGCTGGCAGGTTAGGGTTTTCTTCCTATACCAAGTTTATCTATTAATCTCCATTATTTTCCATTTTAAGCCTGTATATTTGTATTTCAGCCTTTCTTTAATAGATGGACTTTGACTTAAAGAGATACTGTAGTGCCAGAAATACAAAGCTGTATTCCTGGCACTACCGATCCCCCTGCCTCCCCCCTCCCCCCCAATCCTACCCAGTAAAGGGTTAAAAACTTTTTATTTACTCACCAGAACCGGGTTAAAGCTCTGCCCCCTCCACCGTCCCATGATGAAAGGTGTCAAATGCGCACGCATTATACCTTTCCATAGGAAAGCATTATTCAGTGCTTTTCTATAGGAAAAAAATCTGATGCTGGAGGTCCTCATGCACAGCGTGAGGATGCCCAGCGTTAGATAACGGACTAAATGTCCGCTGCGGTTCTGGATGCGCCCCCAGTGGCTGTCTGATAAACACACACTGAGGGCAGACTGTTTTACACTGCAGCACTAGGTGCAATAGGGACACTGCACCCAGACCACCTCAATGAGCTGAAGTGGTCTGGGTGGCTAGAGTGTCCCTTTAAGTGTATGTTTATGTTTGGAGTGCGTTGCTCTGAGACTGTGAGAGAGCAATGTGCACAGCGCACAGTAAGGGGTGTGAATCCCTTTTAGCTCAGACAGTTTCCATATTTACTGCGCGCCATTACCAGCAATTACATCAGTAATCAGATTGTGATTGGGTCCCAGTGTGGGCAATGCTGTCAGCGTATTAAATACAATGAGAGGCTGAGAGGAACTCTAAATATTATAACTAGGGAGGATCTATTGAGTGGGGGGTTATTGGTATCTCCCCCCCTTCAAACATCACAATATTAACAATACAAAACAATCTAAGTCAATGCCCGCCGCCATATTGGCCGTAGTCCCGCCCTCCGTGTACGTCATGACGCCGCGTCGGGTGCCTGGGTTACTGTTGGTCTTAAAGGCATAGCACGCGCCTGTGCCGTGTTCCACACTCTCCTCCCTTCTCGCCGCCTCGTCACAACTTTATTGAAAACAACAACAAAGAGCAATCCAGGAGTCTGAGGGAACTGACGTATGAGAGGGGAAAAGAAGAAATCCTGCGCTGTGATTGGTCAGAGCGGGCTCGCTGGTTTCGGTTTCCCCATCCAGCTCGGTGCATTGTGTGAGTCTCTCTGTCACGGTGATCAATGTGTTAACTGGGGAGGGGGTGAGTGGCATTGATATTCACCCCTTCAGTGCCGGCGAGGAAGGTCTATTACTGTGGGGTGAGCTCACCAAGCCAGGGTGACCTCACAGGCAGCTGACCGGCTATTGCAGAACTACAGCTCCCATGGTGCCTTGCCCGCCTGCCCTATGGTTGGTGTATTCCTACACAGCATCCTGCTCTGCCTGAGATCCATGTGGGGAGCTGCTCTCTGCCTGTGAGATCCATGTGGGGAGCTGCTCTCTGCCTGTGAGATCCATGTGGGGAGCTGCCATGTGGGGAGCTGCTCTCTGCCTGAGATCCATGTGGGGAGCTGCTCTCTGCCTGTGAGATCCATGTGGGGAGCTGCTCTCTGCCTGTGAGATCCATGTGGGGAGCTGCTCTCTGCGTGTGAGATCCATGTGGGCAGCTGCTCTCTGCATGTGAGATCCATGTGGGCAGCTGCTCTCTGCGTGTGAGATCCATGTGGGGAGCTGCTCTCTGCGTGTGAGATCAATGTGGGCAGCTGCTCTCTGCGTGTGAGATCCATGTGGGCAGCTGCTCTCTGCCTGTGAGATCCATGTGGGCAGCTGCTCTCTGCCTGTGAGATCCATGTGGGCAGCTGCTCTCTGCCTGTGAGATCCACGTGGGCAGCTGCTCTCTGCCTGTGAGATCCACGTGGGCAGCTGCTCTCTGCGCGTGAGATCCACGTGGGCCGCTGCTCTCTGCGCGTGAGATCCACGTGGGCCGCTGCTCTCTGCGCGTGAGATCCACGTGGGCCGCTGCTCTCTGCGCGTGAGATCCACGTGGGCCGCTGCTCTCTGCGCGTGAGATCCACGTGGGCCGCTGCTCTCTGCGCGTGAGATCCACGTGGGCCGCTGCTCTCTGCGCGTGAGATCCACGTGGGCCGCTGCTCTCTGCGCGTGAGATCCACGTGGGCCGCTGCTCTCTGCGCGTGAGATCCACGTGGGCCGCTGCTCTCTGCGCGTGAGATCCACGTGGGCCGCTGCTCTCTGCGCGTGAGATCCACGTGGGCCGCTGCTCTCTGCGCGTGAGATCCACGTGGGCCGCTGCTCTCTGCGCGTGAGATCCACGTGGGGAGCTGCTCTCTGCGCGTGAGATCCCAGTGACACAATCCCCGTTGATCAGCCTTGATGGTCCAATGATAGTAAAGAAACTGCCTGTGTTGTGCCTCTTCCTCTGCTCATCATGTAGCTATGTGGATAAAGAAAGTATCCATTATAAAATATTAGGAACACTTAGACTAGAGCGAGCCCTCCTTGATTTTGATTAAACAGCATGGGTGGTATAACACACCACGGTCATAGTCAGTATGGTTTCTCATGAAATGATGAAAAACATTGAGAGATACCATAGTTCAGTATGCTGGGATTCTACATATAATAATATGTTGGCAGTGTTTGTATTACTTTGAGCCAGCCAAACTGTAGAATAATTTGGAGGGAAAGTACAACCAGCCCAATAACGATATGGAATAATTCTGTAGGTGCTTAGGGTATCCACATTTAAATATAGCAAACAGATAAGCAAAGATAAAATCCAAACACAATTTTAATCATGGCTATATATTCTGCAGAGAGTGATTCTTAGATGGCGCAAAATTGAATGGGAAAACTTAGTTATTAGGAGACTGAAGACCAGATTGATGATTTCTTTAGGTCTTTCACAGCTTTTAACAATAGTTGTTCAGAAGTGCCATCTTTTGTTGCTGTTAATATTTTTGCAAAAATATTCTCAGGCCTCCACTTCCTCTGGGCTGAGACTTCCTGGTTCAGCCCACTCACAGCACCCTTTATTAAGCATTCACTTAGTGGGCCCTCTTTTACGGGCCTACCCGAACGTCGGTTTTGGCACACCACAACCGACTTATACCACTACTATAACTCTGCTTATTGTCCCCGACTACAAATATGTGTGTGTGTATGTATGTATGTATGTATGTGTGTGTATATATATATATATATATATATATATATATATATATATATATATATATATATATATATATATATATATATATATATATATATATATATACACAATAAATTATCAGGGGTGCACTTACAGGTCTTGTGACAAAAATCGTGGTTTAATGGAACAAAAAACTTAGTTACATCTACATTACAAGCTTGATTCGTGTAGTATCAGGTGTAAAACAATGAGAAGGGAACAATACATACATATGTGTATTGTTCCCCTCTCATTGTTTTACACCTGATACTACATGAATCAAGCTTGTAATGTATTTATGGTGTTTTAATTGGTTATAATATTTTTTTTATTTTTTTTTTTAATTCTTTATTTTTGCTGTGCATAACAACATGTTCAAAATTGCAATACCATTTCAATAAATTCAATGGTTAAACACGATATGACTAAGGTATTGGCCGCACCATATGTTGAAAAATAACATCGGGTTGGTCCCATAGGCATGTATCAGTGGTACTCTACTACTTGCGTTGCCTTTGTATCAGTCGAGACGTTATCTGTTTAACTAGGTGGCTGATGTGAGTAGGGCCTGCCCTGTGCCTGTACCAGTCTAGGTTACGTCTAAGGAACACTGCTGTTTTTATGTGAATTAACTATGTGTGGGTTATCCTCAGGTCAGTATGACAAGGTGGTTACAGCGGTCTGGTTTCTTTCTGTGTCTCTTGACCTATCTGCGGGTCCCCTAACCTATGGAGTGAATGGGGGGGAGGGGGGGAGTAAGTATGGTCTTCCTCGGTTTAGCAGCACACTAAACGGGTTATGAGGTTGTACAGTGAAGGGGACGTGGGGCTCCCAGGTAAGGGAATCGTGTGTGCTCAGTCCAGTGTAGCTTATTAGGATTCGGGTACACATCTGGTGTTAGCCATCTGTGTTGGTTATAATTTTTTGTATAGGACTGTCTGTGTATGTTAGTGCGCTTACCTCTGGTTTTCTGTTTTTGTTTTATCTGTAATTTTGTGCACATTTTGATCCTGTTGTGCTTCTGCTACCTATTATTTTAGTGTTTAAAATTTCCATTATTCTGGCCTTTTAATTTCTAAAGCTGTCTTTAAGGGGTTAAAGCAGGGGTAGTCAACCTTTTTCTACCTTCCGCCCACTAATTCATCTTTCTTGATGGAAAAATTTCCTTACCGCCCACCAGTTTTTGCGCAAGTACAGAATATTTTGTAGAAAGGAGGGTGTTTAAAAAAAAAAAAAAAAAAAAATGTACGTACATCTGCTCCTTCTTTCTCCTATTCTACAAGTACTCTGCGCCTTTCTCCTATTCTACAAGTACTCTCCTCCTTTCTCCTATTCTACAAGTACTCTGCTCCTTCTCTCTCCTATTCTACAAGTACTCTGCTCCTTTTTTTTACACGTTCTCTGCTCCTTCTTTCTCCTTTTTTTTACAAGTACTCTCCTCCTCTCCTCTATTTTATCCCCTTTTTTCTATTTTTCTTCCCCCTTTTTTTTTTTTTTTTTTTTTTCTCTTTTCCTTTTTTTCTCTTTTTTTTTTTTTTAAATGCTTTTTCTTTTACCTTCCTTATGGCAATGTACAAAAGTAAGGCTGAGGTAGTTTGTTCACTTATTATTATTATTATTATTTATTATTATCCAACAACAATTCTCTCCTTCTCCTGCCTATTTTCTTTCTCCTATTTTACAACTGCTCTGCTCCGCTTCTGCCTGTCCCTGCTATCAGCTCCCACTCCTCCCCTTCCACTTCCCACGTGTTACACGATTGCGTGCCCATGCATGCATTCTCTCGCGCGTTCGTACTTTCATTTGTGCACTCGCGCCACCCCCCCCCTCTCTCAAAAAGAGGATTTAGCCGCCGAAATCCCTTCCGCCCACTTGGAATCCTGAAACGCCCACTAGTGGGCAGTAGGGACCAGGTTCACAACCCATGGGTTAAAGGAACACTTCAAGCAGTGTGCTGTAGTAGTTTATGTGCAAGAAGAGTACCCTTGCACCCCCACTGTCTCACTGAGGGGCTCTCTATCTGAGGTAAGCTCGGCATGGCTAATCTCATTGGCTATAGTGCCATCAACTGATGTTCTCTGCCAATGAGCTAGCTTTGCATTGTAGGGCTTAGCTCAGGAGAGCTAACGGAGGTTTCTGCCTAATCATTATCAGTAATGGAGGGAGAGAGTGGCTCCTGGTGGATCCCAGGTAAAAAGTCAAACTGTTCCAAAACTATTAGGTTACTTACAATGAACGTCCCAGGAGTACCACCATCACTTTGTCCACGGGTTATTTGGGTCTCCAATTCTGCCTTTATTTTGAACAAATCATTAAAAATATGTTTTTAAGCAGTGTGAAAACGCTAGTGTCAGAAAACTGAACCTATACTGTTGTTTAATCAAAATGTGGAGGTTATGTCAGTTGCTGTTCTTTTTTTTTTCCTTTTCTTTAAATGGAGGGTAGAATATTTCTGTAATTTTATCAATTTTTTTTTTTTTTCTCTTTTCATACCATACGTAGCATAATGGATCCCGCTCTCTTGAGGGATCGGGAGCTTTTTAAAAAGCGAGCCTTGACCACCCCAGCTGTTGAAAAACGGCCTGCTCCTTCTGAGTCTTCGAAGAAAAAGAGAGCCAAACTTGATCTTGGAGGGACATCTGGATCCAAGCAGAACACAGGTCAGCATCCTCATGCAATAGCATTTTTGTTTCCTTGTAGAGTTTATATGCTATAGTTAATGCTTTAGAAGTTAAGAGGAACTGTCATATTAATTTTCAAAAACTAGGTAGTGTGGATTGCCCTTTTGAGGATTTTTTCTTAGTATTTTATTTTGATTCCTTGCTTACAGTTTTTTATATTTGTGATAAGCTGAGCTTGCAAGTTGTGACCCCCAACTAAAGATTTTACAGTCTTGTTACTATATAGACTGTTAGCTCGTTTGAGCAGGGCCCTCTTCAACCTATCGTTTCTGTAAGTTTTCTTGAAATTTGTCCTATTTATAGTTAAATCCCCCTCTAATAATATTGTAAAGCGCTACGGAATCTGTTGGTGCTATATAAATGGCAATAATAATAACTACAGCTGGTAGCTTGGGGTGGCTATTGATTACCCACAAGTTTATAACCTCTTTTTATTTGATTTTTAATGGCTGCTTGAAAAGATTCAAAACCCTAGCAGATAAGCACTTCACTGGTGTACATGAGGAACACTTGGGGCACCATAGCAATTTCATTTCAATAGTGCCAGGTGGTTCTGGGCACAGTCTTACCTTAGGGGTTAAACCGTTTCTTTGAGTGGTTTTGTGAATAGGGTTCTAGTTATAGGTTGAGAGTGTCGGCTAATGCTTTAAGCCTATCAGAGGTGCCCACTCCGTGACTTCTTAATTGAAACCTTAGACCATTGGCAGAAGCCAGGAAGACGATTAAACTGTACCTTCTTCGCAACATTGGCACCCAGAATCACTTAGTTGAGATGAAGTTGATCTGGTGCCTGGAGTGTATCTTTAAGAAGATTTTGTGTTTTTGTAAAAATAATTTAATAGTGAACAGTTCCTCAGGTCGGGGCAGTGATGTCACAGTGTCATTGAGGAAGAACAGCCAGATATTTCTATACATAATTGCCATGGTGTACCTATGAGCAATTTTCCCAACAATCTATTGTATCCACCTTACTAGCTCGATACAATAGTAAAAAAGCATTTACTGTGATTTTATAGAAGGCTAGTGAGGAGGACATCTCTCTCTTTGAAGCATGCATATCACACAAATAGCAAGAGCGATGGTTTCATAATGTAGAAGTAATTTTTAAAGAAAACATTGGAAAGCAAAATAAGTGTGCTGTTTGTGGCACCATCAACAAAATCTGGTGCACCTAACAATACAAACTATGGAATATACTAGGAGATCCTCCAGCGGATTTGTCATACATACCCATGGAAACAAAATGAAGTTGTTATGGTGCCAGGAACCACTTATCTTTACAGATTAACCATTAAACGGTTTAACCATCTAAGCTGGCTCTCCAGCGCCATTCCTCCATGTAACCATCCACACCCGCTTTCTCTACTGCTGATCAGGAAGCATGGCCTGTAAGTCAGTAACTCTCCATTTATAAAAACTGTATGTACTTTTTATTTTTTATGAATAGGGAGCTATTGATTGGCTTAGAGCGTCAACTAACTGCTCTGTGCCAATCACCTGAGCCTTTGCCTGGCAGCAGGTCGTGCTTCCTGGATCAGCATTAGAAAAAGGTGGATGGGGGCGGGGCCTGATAGCCGAACAGGCCAGACGTGCCTACTGAGTGCTCTGGCAAAACCGAGCTTAATCAAGGCTTTTAAAGGCCTAAACGTGACTCCTGCAGCTCCACACAAATGTGGCTAACAGAGGAATTGAATGGGAGCCCGTGGAAACTTGAACCAAGTCTCTCTGTGGAGATTTACCACACTCCGCATTTGAGGCCTAGCATGGAAGGCGGCCTCGTGGCCGGGAGAGGAGGCCGATTTCCCAGCACGGGGACCGCATCGAGCAGCGACAAGCATGAGACCCCGCAACCCCCCCCTCTGGACCGGTGGGGGTCATCCCGGTCCCCGCTGGGCAAGGTTACTCACCCGCAACAGACAAATCTTCTGCCAGAATTAAGAGCGCGAAACGAGGTTAAAATGGCCGCCGAGCCACAACTACCACAGCCTAAAGAGGGCCTGACAATCCAAGCGTGGAGAGAACGCTTCGAGGCGCGGTTCGACCAGATCTGCGAGGAGTTCTGGCAGCGCCCAGAACACAGACCTCTCCTGCACGCCTTACCTGCTAAACAGGAGAAAGCGGCCGAATTAGAGGGCCACAGACCCGACTTTGGAACGGGCGCACACGGAAAAGCACGTCCCTCATGGCCCCAGAGTGGCTGGAAGTATGCCCAGCTAACGAACCGCACAGGGACCCGGGCCCAAATCAAGCGGAAAACAAAGACCCTTCGGGGCGGGAGACAGGCTCCCCTTCACTCCCGTGAGCGAAGTGATAACTCCGACTGGCGGTTTTGTGGCTCCGGTAGATCATGGGCTAAGAAAACAACCAGAACCAAGCCTGAACACAAATGGGCCATATGGAGCCTCATGGAGGGACAGCAACCACAAGTTTATCATGGACACAGCAAGTATTTACTAATGATACCTGAAACAGGCATAGGCTGACAGTCCCCCTACATGCAATTCATAGCCCTCAGTCGGTTTGCATTATTTCCTCTTATTTGCTTTAATTTGTATTCACTCTGGCGACATCAACATACCTGTCTCTTATCTTACCACCCAGTGGACTCTTGTCTCATGTAACACCAACCATAGTACCCAGCGGCTACCCTGCTGACAAATTAACTACAGTTTAGCGTGTTCCCTTATCTTGATATATTATACTCGACTACGTTATTGTCAATCCATATAGTATATCTCAAACAATTCTACTGTTTTCTTGTTAAGCAACACTATATGCATCACTATGTTTATCTTTAAAAATGTGCAGTACTACTACATGCCACAGTTTAACGCCTCTTGAAATGTCTGTATTTACTGTTGTGGCATGGCAAGCTTGTCTGTCAAACTTTTGCACAACAAAAATAAAGAATTAAAAAAAAGAAAAAAAAAGAAAAAGGTGGATGTGGTAGGTTACAGGGAAGAAAGGCCCTGGAGAACCAACTTGGGGGTTAAACCATTCATGAACGGTTTGTCCCCTAAAGGTAAGGAAGCACCAGGGATCTCCTGGCACCATAACAACTTCATTTAATTTTTTTATGGTTTTCGGAGCGTTCCTTAAGGATGCTTCTTTTGTGCCATTTTGACGGAAAACTTCATATTCTGGTTTGTGCTATCTCTAAATGCATACTTCTCTGTATGGATATTTTTGACTGTTTAGAATTTTGGTGAATCTCCAGCACAATATATAATCTTCATAAATATTGTATCTTGATGGAAAACTGTTGTTGTTTTTTTTCTTCTATAAGATGAGTAAGTTATTTGACATTTTACTTAGAGTCCAAGGCTGGCTGTGGTCCCTGGTGGGGTTGTTGTGTAGCAGAAATTAAAGTGCACACTTGCATAACTGTTTGGTTTTGCTTATTGGTCCTACATAGTCCTGTTTAAGTAATGCACACTAGGTGCAGGGTCCAACTGTGTGTCTGCTGTCTGGCCTTTATGCCAGTGTGCAGGGAGGAGGTGTAGTGAGTAAAAAGGAGGCTTAGCTACACACTATGGGGCACATGCTAAAGACTGGAACACTAAAATAGTGTGTGGAGTAGAGTACGGATTTATTAGAGGCAGACTTGAATCCACTTTGAATTGTGACATTAGTATATGTCCCCTATGTCGCATATTTAACAATGTAATCAATGAAATGTCCCATTTATAGATATAAAGTACACACTCATCACATGTGCTTTTATTCACGTTGTAAACATTGTTAATGACTGGTAGGTGGATCATATTTATATCACTTTTTACTCAGGTTATTAATGTACATTTTACATTTCTTTTTCTTAAAGGAATAGTCTTGTAAAAGAAAAAGGTATATTGTCTAAGCTGCTGTTTTACTTTTAGTTCAGATATAGGCTCATTATTAACTCTTGAACTCTCCCCTAACTCCAGTGCCGGTGCATACTCTTTATTACAGCTGATCCTTCTCCATCCATCATGCTTGATAATCTATATGCATCAAATGCTTTTCCTAGAGAAACCCTGCAGACATGACAGCACATGCATAAATGGTGCTATAATTCTCCAGTTTAATGCTCCTCTGTGAGCATATTCAGCATCTAAATGAATGACCAGCCACTGGAAGCATCATAATTGCAAAACGTACATAGTGTTGTACATGTATCGGCACTGTTTTCATCAGCAAGGCTTCAAGGGAGCATCTCCACCCCAAAATGTCCTGGGTGTGGATTTAAAAAAAATGTCTGCCTAGAGCCGTGGACATTGATAGGGTTAATGTCTAAACCCTGATATATTATTTATTTCCTCTCTCAAATTAAATCCGATTTTACAAATAATCCTCAGTGTGTCCTCCTCTGTTGCCCCCCTCTTGTAGTGTATGTAATGTGCGCACTTGTGGTGTATGCTGGCTTAGCTTTCTGCATTGAGGGGATATGTAATTACAGTAGGGTTCTGGATCCTTGTTGGTACAGTGGAAGTTAAACTAGACCACATGCTACCTCCCTGTGGTAGGGCTAAAGGCAATAAAAAGCGGCAAAATTTTCTTCCTGTTACCCGGAACTACATGTCTCGGGCACAGAGCCATATGAATTTCCTATCCTGTTTAGACTGTCCCTTTAATTTATTTGAAGACTGCCTATACGAAGCAACTGTCAGTTTGTTGATTTTAAAAGTCAAGTCTGTATACATCATATACAAATGATATTGGTTAATCTAGTAGAAACATAGTAACGTTAATTAGGTTATCAATGAATTGCAAAACTCTAACTGTATGTTATTTTTATGACTTTTTGTTAATCATCCTAACCTGCTCAGATAAATCAGATTGGGTTTCTTATTTAGGGGATTGATCATTACGTCTGGGGGGTTAAAGTAAATTTTAATGACATAATGCTAGGATATTCCACAACTTGGAGAAAAAAAGTGTTTACACTTGTCTTGGCAGATTAGAACCATCCTCATTCACTATGATAAGTTGGCCCTCAACACAACTGGGAATGGTCAATAGTAAGATCACTTGGGATGATATTTTTGTGAGCAAAGGACAATTTATGTTTTAGTGGAAATATGAGTAATATTTGTATGCATGAGCAAAGGGAGTATGAGCCCTGCTCACTGATTGTCCTTATTGATGGGTGATGGACCAAGTCTTCTCCAGTTTCCATGGACTTCACACCACTTCAGTCTTGCGCTTCTTCATGCTGCTCATTAGAGCCCTAACAGGGTTGGGCTCATTCTCCAGGTCCTTGACTGTCTTGTGCTTGGCACAACAGCAGCAGTCTAGCATCTCATACAAGAAAGCTAGCAAAACGAGGGATAACACGGTCAGAATGAACAGCACCAAAATAACAAAGCAAGCGGTATTCCAACCGTCATGGAACGGGTAGATTCTCTGCACCTGGAACCAAACTTGCTGCTGGATCAAAGCTGTCTCGTTCTTCCAGGAGCTGTTCGATGCCATCCTTGAATAGGCTCCCCGAGTAGCTACAAGCATTATATATATAAAAAAAAAAAGAAAAATTAAATGAGAAATATCTTAACTAATTCTGCATTTTATTTCTTATACAACATACCAACTTAGTTACTTGGTACACCCACAAATAGTATTTGAACATAGCAAGGTCAAACATACTTAGAGAAGAATTAATTTTCTTGATCTTGAGTGGTTAACAGCCACAACCAAAAAACCAAAAGGTTTTTAAATCCAGTCTACATGAATTGTGTCCCCCCCAAACTTCCCATACCCCGCACCTAAAATACTTTTACCATAATTAAAGTAATAGATTGATGAATCCTATTTTAATAATGTTTAGTATATGAATGGCAGTCCTCAAGGTGAATTCTAAACTTTTGACTCTAATTGAGCAGCTATCGCCTCTGGATTAAAAATAACACAACTTTATTTTTTATTGTTTTAAAACAAATGTCGGATATACTCCTGAGTTCATAAGAAAAAAAGGATACAGGTGGCGCTTAGGAATATATAGGTATGGTGCTGCTGAATTACGCACGTATATTGTCACTCTATATATACTTTAAGAAAAAGATACAATCCAAAGGTATAAGGTGAAAGCGCACACAAAATGAAAGAAATATATTACCTTAAATACACCGTACACTTGGTAAAAGGTTTTGGTAAATACACAGTACACTTGGTAAAAGGTATTGTGGTTTTCCTGTAACATAGTGTAATCCGTATGCGTGTTAGGTGAAAAGAGATTTAGAACTCGATACACTCACAATTTTTTGAGCCCATTAAAGTTGGCTCTGGACTTATAGTAATATCGAGTTCTAAATCTCTTTTCACCTAACACTCATACAGATTACACTATGTTGTGTTTTTGTTTGCATTTCTATATAGGAAAACCACAATACCTTTTATCAAGTGTACTGTGTATTTAAGGTAATATTTCTTTCATTTTGTGTGCGCTTTCACCTTATACCTTTTGGATTATATTCCTGAGCTCGTCCAATGCAATTAACCAACAGTCACAATTACTTTTTCAGATGGCTGGTATATGAAACACAAAACTAATGTCAATTAAACACAAAGTTTCTGTAAAGACCTGGATTAACTTGTTCTATGGGTTCTCAATTAAAGGAACATTACAAACACCACAACCACTATATCCTGCTGTAGTGGTTTTGGTTACAGAACTGCCCTGACACTGTTTCACAGTAACTGCTCAAACGGTTTCAGCAGTTACTGTAGTAACAATCCTATTATTTCTGGTGCTTGCTCCTTGTTGAGCTCTTTGGACCAAAACGACTCTTTATAAATCTGGCCTGTTAGATCTAATGTTGGCTGACAGCTCCCACTTTATCTTGCCTATAAGGCTCCATCCTGCACAGAAACAGGTTTCTCTGTCAGTTCTGCATTTGGACCTTGTGCATCTTTCTAGAGATCTTTCTTGCCTCTCTTCTTCTACACTATGAGGAAGTTGAGTATTTTGCATAGTGTAGAGAAGCTTGATGCTGAATGTTTTAGGTGGGTTGTGCCTCGTGTCAACTGTACTTGTTATAGGTGGGTTATTTCAACCTTTGTTTAAAATTCCTCTATAGCAGTGGTTCCCAAACCAACATACTACTCTACCACTATCCTCAACCATTAAACCATACACTTCCTTAACTCTTACACCAACATATAAATATCATGTAATATGAAACATGCATAATGACAAAATGTGTATTAGGGTAAAATATCGTCTTTATAGGAAAAAAATACCATCAAGAAGTGCTGGAGTTATTTACAAATTATTTATTTGTTACGATATCTCCAGGACCCCTTGATGGTTTTATTTTCCCATAATAAATTTATTTTGCAGTTATGTATTGTCTGTCCTATCCTATCATGTGTAATCATAATTAGCCAAGCCTAAAATTTACTAGCCACTTCAAATTGAAAGGTAGTGGTGAGCTTGCCCAGTATGAGTCGTGCAGTCCAGAACAGACTTTAAAAAAAAAAAAACAACAACTTTTATTCAAATTGGTATTAACTGCTGTGCTTACACTTTAAAATATGGTTCCATTTGTGTTTTTTATTTTTATCTTTTTTTTTTTTTGTTTTGTTTTTTTTAATGCAGCTATCTATATATGTGACCTCGTGCACTGAAGTGTGGAATGTACAGTGAACATCATATGAAAATGTGTACAGTGTTAGGGGTGAGGTGGTGGGTTATAAGCCTAAAGCAAAAAAGAAACATGAATATAAGTTCATTATTACTTATGCAATGAGAATATGTTGTTATGGTGCTAAAAAAGTGTTCCCAAAACAACAAAGTGGATCAGTCAGGCCTGCTCCCCCTATTGTTTTCCCTGGAGTTGCGAAGCATTATGTATACTACAATCACATGTAGTATACATAATGCATGTGATTGCTGTATCTAACTACATCTCTCCTAATGCTTTGCCAGCATTCTGGCTGTAACAGGATTATGTGAGATGTAGTCCACAACATCTGGAAGCTGTCAACTCCTGCTTTAAGGTGTTACCCATTTTACAATCCAATCCTGGATCCTTTGCTATTTCCTAACTTTATATCAAGAAGTCTAATGTGGTTTGTATTCTTTAATTGGAGATTTGAAAAGTGGATTGCAAATTCTAGACCAAAGTAGCCCAGATGGAAACATAGTTGTGCATTTTTTCCAAACTGGGTATTTTAACCTAAACGTGGCAATTTATTTGCCATTTCTCCACTGTTCCCTCGCTATTGAATAAACCCTTTCTATGTTTATAGGAAACCTGTAAAACAAGAGAGTAATAGAGGATTATACAGCTGAGCCATTAGTATTACAGATTCTAAATCGAGGGCAGAGGAAGGCAACCTTCAGCTCTCCAGTTGTTGTGACTACATCTCCCGTGATGCTTTGCCTGCATTACAGCTGTAAGAGCATTATCCGACATGTGGTTTCCTTGTTTTGAATGGTAATTGCTCTTTAAAAACATTAGCCCCACAACTGCAATCAGACTTTTATATATACTGTAACAATAAATATAATTGACATTCTTGAAAAGGGTCAAGTGGAACATTTAGATAAGAATCGCATAGAGTACCACTTGCATTAAAAACATTTAATCAAAGTCATTTATGACTGCTTTTAATAAGGGCCTATCTACTTGTTCTATTGCTTCACTCAGATGATAAATTAACTGTCCTCTGGTATGTAAGATATTAACGGATCACTACAGGGTCAGGAACACAAACATGTATTCCTGACCCTATAGTGTTAAAACTACCATCTAGCCTCCTTGGGCCCTCATGCCTCCATAAATATAGCAAGTCTTACTGTATTCAAGCCTGAAGCTGTAACTCTGCATCCTGTTTGTCTCAGAAAAACAAGCAGTCTGCTGACATCAGAAGTGGTAGCCTGATCCAATCACAATGCTACCCCATAGGATTGGCTGAGACTGACAAAGAGGCAGATCAGGGGCAGAGCCAGCATGATTCAAACACAGCCCTGGCCAATCAGCATCTCCTCGTAGAGATGAATTTAATCAATGAATCTCTATGAGGAAAGTTCAGTGTCTGCATGCAGAGGGAGGAGATAGTGAATGTTTGGATGTATTTTAGGCAGCCATGACCCAGGAAAGATCTCTAACAGCCATCTGAGGAGTGGCCAGTGAAGTTATCACTAGGCTGTAAAATGAAAATACAGTGTTTACAGCAAAAAGCCTGAAGGTAATGATTCTACTCACCAGAACAAACTTAATAAGCTGTAGCTGTTCTGGTGACTATAGTTTCCTTTAATTTAAAAAAATAAATAAAGACATTTGATTGATAAATGCCTTATTTATTGTTTTTTGTATACATAGTGTATGGTGTACCAGAGAAAAGGAAAGACCAAATAGTTTGCCATTTTAGTCACTCTGACTCTGAAATTATTTTGCACACGAGACCTGGATAATGTCTTCCCTGATTAGTCATGGCTAACCCGGAAAGCCATGAGCTTTCATATATACTTTTTTTTTTTTTTTTTTTTGGGACTCTGTAATTGTGAGCTGCATTAATAATGGCATTCTGAATATGGTATATCTGATTTTACGAATATCTTCAATACCTCTTAATAATTTATCAGCATCACCTCATGTCTCATGTTACAGCTTACTCAGTTGTATCATACAGTCAACATACTCCAGGATGCACCTGTGGGTATTTGAGATGTTAGCTTAGCATTATGGTTTGGTTAATTTATTTTAGGATCTGCGCATCAGCTAGCATTTATTGTTGCTTTATTTTTGTTTTTTCTTTTTTTATGTTCCTATCTTCATTGGTGTGTGGTTTTTTTTTGTTTTTTTTTTTATCTCAACAATAACTAACTTACAGTGAGTCTAGTGTGTAGAAGAATTGGGCCTACTATTACTAGTAAAGTATGTCTTCTCATTGATCCAAGGATAAATCTGACTGCCATTCTGGGATCAAGGGGGAATTTTATTCCTAGTTTGTTGCAAAATTTGAAGTGCTTCAAACTGTTTTTAATTTTTTTTTTTTTTTTTTGCTTTCTTTTGAATCAATAGCAAAAAACAAATGTGAATAAGCCTGAACTTGGACACCTGTCTCTTTTCAGCCTATGTAAATATGTAATCATTCTGCCACATAGCCAGGAAAGTAGCAGATCTGCCATTTAGAGTGCTATATACAACATAGTGACTACAAGTAGAGTTATTCTGTTGGCACCAATGGCACTACTTGTCTTGTTGCCCCAGATCTTCTGTAGGGATTTTGGTGTCTTTGCTGGATTCCCCCATAGCTGCTTGACCCAGTATTATGTGATGTGGATTAGGCTTTATTGTTGTATGCAATTCAAAAGGCCAGAGCTGGTGAGGTGTTCCAATTAAACAGTTAGTGCCACATAGCAATGTAGGCTTAGTGGGTTGGTTTCTTGTTAATTTCCTCTTGATCCTATTGCAATCACTACCACTTGGCAGTAGGCATGAGCCTCATGTGGGCTTTTACTAAATTTATTGGGTTTGTTTTTATCCATTTTAGTTCAGTTCTTTAACCCTTAATATAGTGGTCTGTATGACTACCTACAAATGGGGTTAATAATTTTGGCCTAATTAGCTACAAGTATCTGTTTTTATAGGTGAAGAAGCATTTGCGGGGCAAAGACACCCTGGGCAGGCGACTCTCCTCCTGGCCATCAGCTGAATGTGCATGCGCGGCAAGAGCCGTGCGCGCATTCAGCCAGTCCATAAGAAAGCATTCTCAATGCTTTCCTATGGACGCTGGCGTCTTCTCACTGTGAAAATCACAGTGAGAAGCGCTGAAGCGCCTCTAGCGGCTGTCAATGAGACAACCACTAGAGGTTGGATTAACCCTGTTATAAACATAGATGTTTTTTCGAAACTGCTATGTTTATAGAAGAAAGGGTTAAACCTAGCTGGACCTGGCACCCAGACCACTTCATTAAGCTGAAGTGGTCTGGGTGCCTATAGTGGTCCTTTAACTTAATGAAGCAGTTTTTGTGCATAGATCATGCATCTGAAGTCTTACTACACAATTATGTGCCATTTAGGAGTTAAATCACTTTTGTTTCTGTCCATGCAGCCCTAGTCACACCTTCCCTGACTATGACTGACACAGTCTGCATGAAATTTTTATTTTATTTTAAATCAGATGTTAACTTAATTTGTAAGTTTTTATCTCCTGCTCTGTAAATTGAAATGTAATCACACACAGTAGGCTCCCTCAAGGTATTAACAGAGCAGCAGATAAGAAATTCGAAATTAAACAGACTGTGCAATAAAAGAAGTGTAAACATTAGATCTCACTGTACAGGTGGTGTGTCTAGTGTTGCATAAACAAAGTGATTTTACTCCTAAATGGCAGAGAATTGAGCAGTGAGACTGCAGGGCCATGATATATACACCATAACTGCTTCATTAAGCTAAAGTTGTTTTGGTGATTATACTGTCCCTTGAATTACTTTCTAAAGTTCCAACTGATGTCCTTAATACTTGGCAGTACTTGGTACTTCTGTCCATTGGTTGACTACAGCATGCAATTAATACAATCCAGTGTCAAAGAAAACAGTGCTATACCCCTATAAAATAAAATGTGGTTCTTGGTGTTATTAAGCCGCCCTTCACAAACCTGTTGGCGTTTGAGCATAGTATATGTTGTGTCTTCTGCGCTGTATATACACTCTGTATGGGAGTTTGGGGAGGACAGAGATAGGAGTTTCTGGCAGAAGGTCAGATAAAAATTCCCACGTATGCCAGTGTGCTTTGTGGCACATTATTACATACCCTTTTGATGAACACTGAAGAAGGCTGGCTGCTGTAGCCGTAAAAAATGTGTGTTGATGCTTCAGCCTGTGTTGTGCTTTGTCATTCTTTGAATAGTAGCTTAGTGTATAAACACTCAGCATGTGTCTTAACCTCTCATCCATCAAGAGAAAGACTAGCACTATTACTCCCAGTATCCTGTTTCAATGCCTCAGTGCTTAATGCTGCTCCGTGATATACCCTTACATTCATCGTCCTCTCAGTGTTTGGACATATAAGAATTGCCCTAAAAATGAACCTGGTAACCCAGTACTGGCGTCAGCCAGACCTGATCAGACAAATTATCATGCTTACAGGACGACATAAGGCAGTTTGCGTACCAAAGAGGACCTGTCATTTAAATGGATTAAATTATGTGCTGTTTACTGTGGGATCCTGAGTGCATTTTGCTATCTGCCATTACTGTGCAGTTTGCACATCATTTAGCCACTAGCTTCCATAGAGTGTACAGGCCCCACCGCATACATAGACAAAATATAGTCCGTTCAAAAGCAAGGCTGATTCATTTCAAACTGAAAGTCTTTCCACAACAACATAAACTGCTGCAAGGATTGAGCTGAAAGCCAATCTATCTGCATCAGCAAGCATTTGTGTTTATCCTATTCAGCGTCAGGGAAGCCTGCTTTTGCTTCATCCGACAAGGCAAAAATGGGGTGTGAGCGGTGCATCACACCAAAAATGGAGAGACCACGTCCTCCCCATGTGAGCTAATTGAAAGAATGTCTCTCCGTCCTTCAGGACGTGCATGTTACAGCCTGCAGTACAAAGAAGGCAGCTGTGCATTGTGATCTCCCATCTAGGTTGGATAGCAGAGATGTGCTTGATTAACCTACCTTATTGTATGAGCAGCTGCGGGCTGTGTTCTGCTGCTGTGTCTATTGCTGAGCACAGTACTGTTCAGACAGAGCTCTGCTACCATTGGACAGAAGAGAATGCAGCCAGCCGTCTGTGCTCAGTGCTTCATTAACATCCCATCCCTCCACCTAGAAGGCTGAGCACACCAATGGGGGAAGCTGGCCGAGTGTACTCTCCAGCCAGCCTCCATCCTCAGGACAATGGGAAGCTTGCTTGTTGCAGGTTTAGAACATAAGGCTTGATTGGCTTTTAAACAATGCTTCAAACCCTTTTTAAATTTGTTTCTTTATGTAAAGATAGAAAGTGAGATACATAGTCTCAATCCTGGGCCAAATGCTGTGTTTGTGTGAGAAATAGTAATCAGTAAATCTCATTATAATATCTTTTCCCTGCGTTATTGGTAAGGGATAATTGTACTTATACATATATGTGCTTGTAACCTATAGCAATACATACGTATCTGTTATTCCTAATTTATGTAAGTTAGTTGGTGAATAAATAAAATGGGCATATTAAGCATTGTGATATCCTTTGTGATTCGTTTTGGTATTGTGTGTGTGTGTGTGTGTGTGTGTGTGTGTATGTGTATACACACTCACACTCACACTCACTCTCTCACTCTTTCAGATAGCTTGGCACTCTCCTTACTTAGAACAATCAGATAACTTGCCTGGGTGCTACCCGCGTCAAATATAGGAAAAATCAATTCCGGGTAAGTAGATCAACGTTTCGACCCTGGCGAAAAAGACCCGCCAGGGTCGAAACGTTGATCTACTTTACAAATGTAATTTTGTCGTTTTCATAATATTAAATTACCGTTACACTGTCCGGTGTGTGTGTGTGTGTGTGTGTGTGTGTGTGTGTGTGTATATATGTGTGTATGTGTATATATGTGTATATATATGGTGATGCTTTAAGCAAAACTCAATAACCCTACACTAACAGAGAGGTGGGGACATGTAATGGCATGTGTCCAACTTGCCATGTTATGTCCCTTTCTCTCTAATTTGGAAAAGTGTGCTGCTTAATGATAGCACAGCTGGAAACACGAACATGCTGACTTGCTGAAGTTGTTATAGTGCCAGGAGGTCCCTTGCTCACATTTAGGGGTTAAACCAGTGCTACCGAAACCAGTCCTCAACCCACCAACAGTCCAGGTTTTGTTGGAATAAAACCGTGGAGTACATAAATACGTGGAACCGTGGAATACATAAATCCTCGACTGTTGGTGGGCAATAGCCGATAGCGATAATCTGTGAACTTTCATTCTGATAGCCTATAGTTTACCGATATTTTTATTTTTTTTGCAACATTTTTTTTATTAAGTGGTAAATGCACAAAATATACATGCCAGTCAGATAATTTTTTTTATTTTTTTTTATGTTTTCAAGAATATTTATGTGTGTGTGTATTGGATGCAGTGAAAATATTTGATTAGTAAATGCAGTGTGTGTGTGTGTGTGTGTGTGTGTGTGTGTGTGTTTTGTGTAGTGGATTCAGTGTTTGTGTGTAAATATGTGCGGTAGGAACTCCCCTCCTCCCCACCCCTTAACTGTCTCTAAGTGCCCTCCCCTGTTCCTCTCTCTTCTCGTTTAGTGGTCCCCCATACCCCAGTGTTCATTTTCCCTTCCCTCCCCTGTACCTTAGTGTCCTCCCTTAATGTTCCTCTCTCCCCCCTAGTGTTCTTCACTCCACTCCCCTCCCCTGTCCCATGGTGTTCTTCAACCCCCGCTCCCCTGTCCCATGATGTTCTTCAACCCCCGCTCCCCTGTCCCATGGTGTTCTTCAACCCCCGCTCCCCTGTCCCATGGTGTTCTTCAACCCCCGCTCCCCTGTCCATGGTGGGTGTTCTTCACCCCTTCCGGTCCCATGGTGTTCTTCACCCCTTCTCCCATGGTGTTCTTCACCCCCTTCCCGGTCCCATGGTGTTCTTCACCCCCCCCCCCCTTCCCAGTCCCATGGTGGTCTTCACCCCCCCTTCCCAGTCCCATGGTGGTCTTCACCCCCCCTTCCCAGTCCCATGGTGGTCTTCACCCCCCCTCCACTGTCCCATGGTGGTCTTCACCCCCCCTCCCCTGTCCCATAGTGTGCCCCCCTTCCTCCCCTGTCCCATCGTGTTCTCCCCTTCCTCCCCTGTCCCATCGTGTTTCCTCCTGTCCATCGTCCTCCCCTGTCCCTCCTGTCCTCCCCCACCCTCCCCTGTGTTCTCCCCACCTCCTGTCCCATGGTGTCCCCACCCTGTCCATAGTGTTCTCCCCACCCTCCTGTCCCATGGTGTTTCCAGTGTGTTCTCCCCTCCTGTCCTGGTGTTTCTCCCCCCACCCCTCCCCTGTCCCATAGTGTTCTCCCCCCCCCTCCCTGTCCCATGGTGTTCTCCCCACCCCTCCTGTGTTCTCCCCACCCTCCTGTCCCATGTGTTCTCCCCCCACCCCTCCTGTCCCATAGTGTTCTCCCCCACCTCCTGTCCATAGTGTTTCTCCCCCCCCACCCTCCCCTGTCCCATAGTGTTCTCCCCCCACCCCTCCCCTGTCCCATAGTGTTTTCCCCCATCCCTGAGCGCCCCTCTCTCTCCTTGGTCCCTGCTCCCCGGTGTTTCTCCTGGTAGCGTGACCGAGGAAAGCAGTGCGCACCAGACTGACAGGGACTGCTCCGCTCTGCCACGCTACACAGAGTGCCTGGCAGGGGGGAGCGCTGTGCGCCCACCTCCCGCCGGTCACTCCGATTTAGCGCCTCCCGGGCCAGTGCGCCCTAAGGCAACCGCTTGTGTGCCTTATGGACGCGCCGGGCCACACATTCATTATCGGTATTGCCGGTGATTATCGACCGATACTTACAAAAAATCATTATATCGGCAAAACCGATAATCGGTCAATACCCAGTTTGGAAACCACTCATCCAACCATTCATCCAATATTATTCCGCAGTCTGAAATCATAGATAATGAAAGTCTGGGCAGGGACACTGCTTACCTTTTTGTATGAATGGGGATCTGTTGATTGGTTTGCTTTAGAGCATCAGCTGACTGCCCAAAGCCAATCATTGGTGCCCCTGCCTTAAGCTGCTGCGGCCTTCTTTGAATAGTGCAAGGACAGGAACCCAAAGCAGTTCCGCTCTGCAACACAGACTTTGGGCTTAAACCGTTCATGAACAGTTTAACACCCTAAGAGTGAGCCAGCATAAGGGACCTCCTGGCACCATAACAACTTAATTTTATTAAAACTGTTATAGTGCCCAAACTGAACCTGTAAAGTTAATTTGGTAATCCTTGCATCTAAATTGCAAATCTGTTGAGCCCACCACGGTGGTTACGCCATAGCCTGCATATTGTGTGTACTCTCAAACTATTGAGCATTTGCTGACATTTTCTATCCTTGGTCCATCCTTAGCTCTGTTTATTTTAAGGAGTGTGGTTGCCTGTTGCAGAGCAAAATCCAAAGGGTTGAATATTGAATAGTGCTTTAACCAGATCAATCTCCACTTGCAATGCTGCTAATGGCATGTTTCATTTATCAAATGACTTTAGTTATCCGTACAGAATATTTTCAAACTAAACATAATCCATGCCTCTGGCTTGTTTAGAAAAGTCATCCAAATATTTACAGTGGCTCTAAAAGCTTGCTTGAAAACAACTCTAGAGTTTATTGGGTGTAGTTGCATTGTGATTTCTGTTTTTTCTGAAGATTTTTTTTTTTTTTCGTAGAGGGCAGCAATGGATCATTTAACCTCAAAGGGCTTTCTGGGAGCTCTGGCTACAAGTTTGGAGTCCTTGCGAAAATTGTCAACTACATGAAGGTATTCTAGCTTTTCTATGTAAATACATGATCAATTCTTTGTGTTCCTGTCATGTGTTTGTATTCTGAATGTCCTTAAATGGATGCTCCAGGCATGTTCTGGGCACCAACACATTTTAAGCCCATTTTATAGGTTTTGGTGTCATTCATATTGAGAAAAGAAAAGTTCCCTTATGACATGTCTGGTGTATTGATAGGCTTGTGGGTGGTTTGGGAAGCAGGAGAATAAGTTGGAGAGAAACTAAATTGTGGCTCCACTAAACACTGTGCCACCATCTTGCAGTTCCAATCAGCTCTGTTTCTCCGGGGTTGCGTTACCGATCTTATTGCCAGTTGTATTCTAGCTAGCATATTGTTGTCTCCATCCCTCTCAGCTTGGGAGTTTTTGTGAGGCCCCCAGATGCTACCGATACCCTGGCAGCTCAGGTCTTCGGGGACCGGGATGACCCCCACTGGTCCATGGGGTGGGGGAGGGGTTTTGGAGTGCCCCTTCGTCCGCCAGAGAACCAGGAGAGTGGCCGTCTCTCCTCGGCTCCCACCCGTGTAGGCCATCAAACTCGATCCCCTGGTGCAGTGCAGTCTCCCAGGCACAAACATTGCGTTAAGCTGTTGGTACGTTCGGGTGGTCGGGCAATAAACCCAGAATCTGGTCTCCAGACTAACGAGCTCTCGGCATCTAGTCTGCTTGGGAGTCAGGCTCTGCCCCCCCCTAGCTAGCATATTGTTGAGGATAAAAAAAACGATCTTTAGGAAAGATATTCCATTGCCTCTGCTTGCTTAAAAACAAAAATACAATGAACCTGATTGTACAAGAGTGAACCCTGTATGACCTATATTTCAATACCCATTGTGTTTTTTAAATTCCTTAGACACGTCACCAGAGGGGTGACACATATCCACTAACACTTGAAGAAATCCTGGATGAAACCCAACACCTTGACATTGGCATAAAGCAAAAGCAATGGCTCATGTCCGAGGTAAGTTTGGCTTTTAGCATGCTGTTTAAGAAATCCTGCCTCTGAGAATGCTGCAAGGTACATCCAACTATTTGAATATCTTTCTTGCTATACACTTGATCTAAAAATAAAACTGGATGGCTACCTTTTTTTTAACACTGTCTTAAACAGGATTGCAACTTAATGGACACTTTTTTTTTTTTTATGTACCCTTGATCTTCTAAACCCAGTGATGTGAATGTTGACTTTGTTATAGCATCCCTATTTATATAGTTTCCAGCACACCAGGGCTTACTGAATTGTTTGTGATTAGCAAATGAATGTTTTTACTGGGTAGGGAGAATGAGATAGCGGGCACTTGTCAATAAAACCACAGCACTTATCTCCACCCTCCAATATATACAGAATATCTGTCCCAAAGTATACCAATGAGGAACAGTTTATTATAAGTGTAATCGGTCTCAATGAAGATTTAATGGAAACATTTAGATGTTTATATGTACTGCAGATAATTGGTTTGGTTTATTGTAAATCAAGACCATGCCCATATGGGATCTATCTCAGTAAATTAAGGGGGCACCAGGTTGCTTCTGGCACCATAACCACTACAGTGCTTACGGTGCTTAGTATTGTTCCTTTAAGCTACTTCTATTAAGTTTAAGTACTACTTCAGTTCATATTTTCAAATCACCATTGCCAGCCCTGTTTGTCTTGCAGACAAGTGGATGGTCTACAAATTGCATTTGTAGAGAGAGAGCAGACTGTACTGTGATTTCTAGTGCCATGCCACCACGATCACCACTTCTATTACAATAAGATTGATGAAACAACGGTGCAAGTGTTTTTGTTTTTGTTTCTTTGCAAAAAGCTTACCTGGCATGATACAATTAACTAGGTTGGTGTTAATTTATGTGTAGTTTTATTTATTTTGCTGCTCTATTGGTTGCACAATTGCAGTTTAGATCTATTTTTTTATATTTTTCCCATCTTCTCTCTTTCAGGCTCTAGTGAACAACCCCAAAATAGAAATTACTGATGGGAAATATTCTTTCAAGCCCAAGTACAACTTGAAAGACAAAAAGGCTCTATTGAGGCTACTGGATAAACACGACCAAAGAGGACTGGGGGGCATTTTGTTAGAAGACATAGAGGAAGGACTTCCTAATTCACAGAAAGCCATTAAGGTATTGCTCCTTTCGTATCTACACAATGCTGGCGGCCTTGGACATACTGGATATAGTGTGCGTCCAGTATCTTCAGGTTTACCTTCTGTTTAATTATTTTAGACATGGCTGTCTGCATACACATTGGGCACAAGAAACAAACTATACAGTGGGCTAGCTTGATATAAAGTAATAGGATATATGTTTAACTTAAAGGGACACTCCAGGCACCCAGACCACTTCTGCCCATTGGAGTGGTCTGGGTGCCAACTCCCACTACCCTTAACCCTGCAACTGTAATTATTGCAGTTTTTATAAACTGCAATAATTACCTTGCAGGGTTAAGTCCCCCTCTAATGGCTGTCTTGTCAGACAGCCAGTAGAGGGACTTCCGTGTTCTTAGAACACGAAAAGTGTTATAAGCGATGCTGGACGTCCTCACGCTACGTGAGCACCTCCAGCGTCGCCGAAATCCCCATAGGAATGCATGGAATAATGCATTCCTATGGGGAGGTCTAATGCGCATGCACGGCCATGCGCATTAGGTCTCTCCCGCCGGCTGACGTCGGCCGGGAAGGAGAGTAGGCGGAGCCTGACCCAGCGCCGAGGGCTGGACTCCGGTAAGTCACTGAAGGGATTTTAACCCCTTCAGCAACTTGGGATGGGGGGTGAGAGGGAGAAACGAATATGTTTTCCTGGCACTGGAGAGTCCCTTTAATCATGTCCATAGCATACCTAAGCATACTTTTTGCAGCGATAGTTTCTAAGGCATTGGGCCTCCACATAGGTAAGACTTTCCACAACAAAATTACCTTTACAACTCCTTGTTAATGCAAATATCTAACAAGCCAAGCATGTGTCACCAACTGGGTGTATAAAAGCATGACACATGGTCAAAAGATTCAGTTTTGATTCAAAGCCGACCCTTAAAGTGGGATAGAAATATGATCTAAGTGACTGATAAAATATCTGGCACAATAATTTTATTGAGTGTCTCAAAAACTGCACAACAGTCTTTAGAGTTGGCAACTTTTGCCATTCCAGATGTTTTGGACTACATCTCACTTGATTCTTTGCTGGCATCATGGCTGTAAGCGCATCATGGGAGCTGTAGTTCTCAACTTCTTGAGTGCCGAAGTTTGCCTACCCTGCTCTAGAGCTTACAGAGAATACTGGGAGAGGGGGATGAGCAGCTGTCCTGTGCATTGGAAACAGTTCGAATTGACAGGAAGGCACTATGCGGTAAAGTGCCTCTGAATGCACTGCATATTGAACCTTGGCGTGATTGAGCTGCAGTAACAGGAAATCACAATGCTTTTCACTCTTGTCTGTTAAGAGCAGAGATATCCGGCTACAATGGGATATGGAAAATAAAAACTAGCTAGAAGTAGTTATTTGGAAAAATGTTTCCTGGTCTAATGACTCTCGATTACTATTGTCACACGCAGGGGGATGGGTTCGGACTTAGACATAAACATGAATCCATCCTGCCTTGTGTCGATGATTCTGGCTGGTGTTGGTGGTGTGAGTGTGTGGAGAACAATTTCTTGGAACACGCTACTTATAACACCAATTGCACATTGTTTAAATGCCACATCCTGAGTACTGTTGCTGATAGTGTACATCCCTTTATAGAAATTCAACCAACCTTCCAATGGATTAATAGCAGGATAATGCACCATGCTGCAAAGCACCTGTCATCACAAACTGGTTTAACGAACAATGACCGAGCTTGGCATTCTCTAGTGGCCTACACCATCACTAGAATTCAGTCCAGTGGGATGTGATGGAAAGGAGCATTTACAGCATGATTGTGCAGTTTACAGATCTGTAGAAACTGCATACTGCTATCATGTCCACATGGACCAGAATATTTAAATCAGTATATCCATTACCTTGTTACTCTCATGAAACAAGAATTCAGACTGTTAAGAAAGGAGAGCCTAATAAAGTAGCCACTGGGTGTATTATAAACATGTTGTCTATATTTTATCTTTTTGTTGGAGCATTCCCATTAATCTTTTCGTTCTAGTAGTTTGTCTGAGAATATAGAGATGTTTTAGTCTCACGTTATTAGGGAAATGTATATTATATTGTTCTTATCTTTTTAAATTTGCATTTAGGCACTGGGGGACCAGATTGTGTTTGTAACACGACCAGACAAAAAGAAGATCCTTTTCTACAATGACAAAAGCTGCCAATTCTCTGTAGATGAAGGTAAGAGGTTACCCTGTCACATATTGTCTTGTTCTTGTAAGATGAATTTGTTTTGTGAGCACCTACTGAATACTACAGCCATAACCTTATTCCTGTGTAAGGATGACTATATATTGTATATCTAGCTAGCTAGAAATAACTTTATGTCAACAGCTAGGCAACATTAATTTATTCATCATGAGCTCAGATGCAGACAATGACAAAATATATTCTGATCAATATTCACGCTTATTCACTGTGTCACAGTTGTTGGCAAACTGGCTATGGAAACCCAAAATTAAAGGAACAGAATACCTCTAGTGGCAGTCACTCAGATGGCTGCTAGAGGTGCTTCCTCTGTCAGTGCTGCACACTGTGCAGCACTGACATTCAGCGTCCCCACACTCTGCATGGAGGTAGTGAATGTTCCTCAATGCATCTCCATGGGGAGATGCTGATTGGCGCAGCGTTTTGCCGCGCATACGTGATAGTCTCCCAATGTTTTCCTACTGTAAAGCATTGCATTGGGTAGATGATAAATTCTGATGATGTGTGCCAGAGAGGCAAAGCCAGCGTCAGTGGGCCCATGCAGAGCTGAAATAAAGGTGCTTGTTTTTGTTTTTCATTTTTTTTTTACTTATCTAACAGGAGCAAGGGGGTCACATACACATTTGTGTTCCTGATACTAGAGTGTTTCTTTTGGGCAAAACCTATTCTTAAAAGCTCTAGTTGAGGACTATTTGAACTGTTATTAGATATTGTATTGTCAAATACACATTTTGTAATTTACAATAAACCGTTTCATTTTAACCCCTTAAGGACACATGACATGTGTGACATGTCATGATTCCCTTTTATTCCATCAAGTGTAATAATAATAATAATAATAATAATAAAAAATGTACTCCTTATAACTGTTTTTCTTTTTTTCACCTCTCAGATATTTTGTGATTTGCTTTGTGCTATTCACACTAGTGTCCACTTGGTGGCAGCAATCACATTTCTATTTCACCTAGATTCATGTGACCTGGAGAACATGACTATGTATGACCTCTAGATAAAGCGCATATTGCATTACAATAGGTTCAGTAAGTGCCGTTATACAGACATAGTAGGTATACATTATAGTAGTAGGTATTTGACCCATAGAGCTTACATTTGTTATACCAATAGATTTCAGTAAGGCACAGAGAACCCTTAAAGATCAATTTTATTGAAACCTTTGGTTTTATTTGATTCCTTTGTTAATCCTAGAAATACAGGTAATGTACTGATGTAGTTCATTTGCATTTTATGGCAACTAATTTTAGAACCATAATTTTCTTATGATATCCATATTTCAAAAAACTTTGGTTAGTGCTGATGGTAGCTATGGCTTTTAGCCGCTAAGGACCAACAACAAAATCATATTGTTGTTGGACTTTTTTTTTTTTTTTTTTACTGGCATTTAAAAAGCGCCAATATATTCTACAATGCTGGCATAGAGTGTTTAGGGACCACATTGTGATGATTATTTGTCAAGAGATGGTGAAAGGCAAAAGCTGATATTATGCATTTATACTGCACTAGTACTACCGTTATTTACTTGAAGCAGATTGGTCCTTAAAGTAACACACCAATGGAACTTTAATCATACCCAAGTAAATCATGCATGAATTTACTGCTGCATTTTTTTCTCAATGTGGTATATCTAAAGCAGCTTGCAAACACTACATATCTCTTGTCTGAAGTCTTTGCAAGCTCTGCCCTTCTTCCCTATCCCAGACGTACTATGGCTGTCCAATCAGGCTTCCCAATGCAGCTTAATGAGAAGTTATTACAAGGCAGGTGCAGTGGGCAATTGTTGCCTCTTGAGATTAGATCCACTGAGCTGACCAAACCAGGAAGTAACAGAACAGTTTATCTGATTGACAGCCAGCGGGTGTAACAAGGTTGATTTGTAAAATTGCCTATTTCTATTGAAATCTGCACTTTTTGTAAAATGAGAATAAGAGGCCTTAGTCTTCAATATAAAGCACTTCAGTATGCTTAAGTACTATAGTTGTTTAAAGTGTTCATTTAAGGATCACATTCATAAACTTTTCCCGTTGGCAGATTGGTTTTCTTGCCTGTATGCTCCAGCATAGTAAGTACAATTCTGCCAAATATGCATCTTTCATTGTAATAAAATATTGATTCTTTCAACACATACATCACTGTGTGAGTTGCATTTTCATAAGTTTATATAAAATATATTTGTAACTCAATCTAGCTGCTTTCCATCAAAATACTGTACTTACATTTGTATGCCTGTATTTTTTAATGATTTACCGTATGCATGTTAAGCAACCTGAAGCAGATGCAATTAGCTTTATGAGTTTTCACAAGGGGCAGAGTAGATGGGCTAACTGGTTATTACTTCTTTGATGCGTCATGTCACGGAGGTTGGGGCCAGGTCTATATGAGATTGGTACTATTCCCCCTCTTTTTTTTCTCTTTTTTTCTCTTTCTTTTTTTCTCTCTCTCTTTTCCTCTCTCCCCTCTCTCTACTCTCTCTCCCCTCTCCCCTCTCCCCCTCTCCCCTCTCCCCCTCTCTCCTCTCTCCCTCTCTCCTCTCTCCTCTCTCTCTCTCCCTCTCTCCCTCTCTCCCTCTCTCCCCTCTCTCTCTCTCTCCCCTCTCTCCTCTCTCCCTCTCTCTCTCTCTCTCCACCTCTCTCCCTCTCCTCCCTCTCTCCCTCTCTCCCTCTCTCCCTCTCTCCCTCTCTCCCTCTCTCCCTCTCTCCCTCTCTCCCTCTCTCCCTCTCTCCCTCTCTCCCTCCCTCTCTCTCTCCCTCTCTCCCTCCTGTGATTTCTGTTTTATTCAGTCAGGGGGTTGCTTTGTAAGGCAAGTAGAATCAACTTTGCAGGATTGTAGGTCCATTGTCTGCCAGGAAAATTTATTTCTACACATTTTGACTAACCTTAATTCTGTTTTGTGTTTACTGGTTTAGTTATTTGTGCTTCTCAATTTGATTATAGAATTTCAGAAGTTGTGGCGGAGTGTCCCAGTGGATTCTATGGATGATGAAAAGATTGAGGAATACCTCAAAAGACAGGGAATTACATCCATGCAAGAGTCCGGACCAAAGAAAGTTGTAAGTTCATCTTTATTTCAGTTTAAAAACCTCTTTGTTCTTTTTGCAACATATATAACAAAGTTCTCAAATGAACTACAAGTATAATTGAAAGAACTATTATGTTTTCTAAAATACACCCATGATTTTACTACACCGTGCTATGTTTTTGGTGTGTGTTTTTTTTATTTTTTATTTTTTTTTTTTTTTTTTTATCATAATCCAGTTGTATATTTTATTTATTATACACCTCAGATTTTCTTTTTTTTTTTTTAAAACTCATTATTGTGTATTTATAGTCTTTTATTCTGTTTGCTATATTTATGGGGATGTCTTCCTAATTTAAAAATTTTAATTGGCTTCCTCTCTTGTGCACCTTAATTGATTGCTGAAGTCAGATAACTCTAAAGTTATATGTTGTATGAACAAGAAGGTGAGTTGGGCTAATAAAATCTAAAGTTTCAACTTTTGTAAGCTTTTCTGAATCAGCAAAAAAGGGCGGTTTGATAAAGTACTCCTTTTTCTTACTGATAATTTTACAACTATAAATAAAATAACATCTATTTAAATGGTTAATACAACCAGAACCGTGCTTGCTTTGGTCAAGTAAACTCTTCCTATCCTGTTTGCGCTTACCCCCTATAAAAACACCATTCCCATGCGATCATAGGGGGCTGGTGACCTAAGCATACATATTCGATAACACACAGACACGCTCACATTCTCTCACAAAGTATTATTTTATACACTTAAATAGATACACACACAAAGATTCATGGAGACACACAGCCAAATACACACACATGACAGATACAGACAGAAATAATAAGAAACAATATATATAAAATACATATTTTTAGCCACCCTCCTGTCTCCGACCTTTTGGGCTAAGGAGGGACTGGGTGACGTTAGACTAGTGGGGCTGGGTGCGGCTGATGGGAACTTCCTCCCGGCTCTGAGGCCGTGCAGGGGAGTGGGCGGGCGGGCGTACAAGCTCTGAGGAAGGGGGGCAGACTGGAGGCTGGCTCTGTGAAATGGGGGGCTGGGGAGCTATGTGGAATGGGGGGCGGGCAGCAAACAGAGCTGACTTTACCTTATGTCCGGGCCAGCTTGCCATTCCCCTGTGCGGCCTCAGCGCCGGGAGGAAAAGAGATCCTTTCACTACCTCGTGGTACACTGGCACACAGAGAGCGTCACCGGGAATGAGGAAGTAACAGGTCAACCAATCCAAGGCAACCAGGACAAAATTCTTAGTCACCATGGTGACCTGGCGCCTGGGATTTGTTGAGCCCTGACTGAAGACATTTAATGAAGAGCACCTAATATCAAATGTTTCAGGAACCCTGTCCCTTATGTGTCTGTCTAGGATAAGGGTGTTGTATGTGGGGGGAAACAGGGACAGGGTCGCAAAACATTTATTTAGTGCTTTTCATTAAATGTCTGAAGGATTTCAAGTGACCTATATCAACTAAGCTGTGCATTGTGCTTTTTCTGTGTTTGTGAAACTTTAACTGCTCTATTTTGCAATGTTCTTAATCGCTGTATTATATAAAGGAAAATCCTGAAGCCTCTTTTGCAATTGCTCTGTCTTGTAGATCCCAGTTCAGAAGAGGAAGAAATCAAACTCGCAGAAGAAGAGAAGGTTTAAGACTCACAATGACCACTTGGCTGGTGTGCTCAAAGACTACACAGATGTTACTCCTGGCAAACCATAATCATATAATCAGGACCGAGGATGTTTACAGAGGATTTTTACCATAGGGTTTCCTTAGAACGCTTAATGCCTCAGCCTTAATATGTCTTCTGAGCCTTCCAAAACTTAATACCAACTGTGTTTACTCCTTGGGGTTTCACTGAGGCTATCTGATTATTGACCATAATCAATTTTTGGCAAAGTATTAAAGCAAAAAGTGTATCATTCGTTAAACTGAAGTAGTACTGGAGCAGTACATGTGTGGAAGCCTACACAGTATGCAGGACAATTCGTGGATGTTTATTATTCCTTTTTTGGGGGAGTGTTTTTTTTCTTTTCTTTCTTTCTTTTTTCTTTTTTTTTTTTTGCATTTCTTTAATTTGATAGACTTGAAACTAGAGTGGATGTTCCAGCATTGGGGCAGGTCAATATGCTGTTTACTGTATGTATATTGGCAAGAAAAAAGATTTCTGAAGTTTTTTTGGGGGGGAGGGGGCAGAGGGATGTGTGATTTAATTTACAAAAAAAAATGTATTGTGCAGAATTTGATTTAATGTCTCAAACTGCATTTAGTTCTTCATTAAAAACCTTTGCTCTCTGGAGGTTCCTACATACCTGCTTAGTAATTTAAAACGCACATGCCAAGTCCTTTACAGACCACTGAATTGTGTTTATACCAGCAGTACTTACATTGTAAGAAGAACATCAAAGATATATTTTTTCACTTTCTGTCTTCAAAGCAACTTAATTTTGGTTTGCAAAATTATTTTAAATACATAATTTTGTGCATGCAATTTGTATACATGTCTGTATATAGGTATATACATAGATTTGTCTAGGAATAAAGGGTACATAAACTGTAAGATGTGTTGCATAGTAAATCAGCCATATATTTACCATAGCTTTTTATTTGTACAATGTAGTTGATAATTTGTTAAAGAAAACTAAGATTACGGATTTATATTCTTTCTTTACTTCTGCTGTTTGCATGACATATAGAGATAAAAATTGTAAGTTGGGCTTTTATTTAAAAACAAATGTTTTAGGATCAACTGATGGGGCCCTGTGCTCCTCCTGCAGCTATTATCGTCCTTAAGGGATGAAATTATTACTTTTTTAATTTTATTTTTTAAAACAAACACCATTCAGAGCTTCCATGCAGAATGCATTCAGAACTGGAGTTGTCTGCAGATCCTAACAAAATCTAAAATATTCCTTTAGTTTCTGTTAATTACATGAATTATGTATGAGTCACACAGTTTGATTTGAAGAATTATTTGAAAACCGGTATTCTTCAAGCAATAGTGAATAGCACCAAACTTAAAAAAAAAAAAAAAAAAAGCCTTTAACATCATCTATTGAATGGTAAAGAAGATTTGTTATATGACATTCTTAAAGCTAATCTCTAACGTTGTGCAATGTGTTTAATTGCAGTGAACAACATTCAGGTTCAGTTTGTGGAATTCCTAAAGAGATGCTTTCCAAATTCCAGAGATTACCCCTATCAGCCCAATCACTCAAAACCTCAGAAATGTAATATTCGCTTGAGAACCATGATTCACACAAATTATGATTGCCGTCCATATCTGGGTAACTAGTTAGAAAGTAAAATTCCCAATTATCACAGTGGCAGCCGAGAGGGCAGGCTTTTGGTGCAGTTTTTTGATAAAAATGGATGCTACCCAATGCTTCATAGGCTATATTTATTCTTTCTTACTGTGCCATCTATAGGAAGGTTATAAAATAATGAAATTGGAATAACCCTCTATACTTGTGGTAGTAATTTATTCCCTAGTACTCCTTAGGAATACAACCTGTTTTAGTTTTTTTTGGCATTAATGAACAAGGTCAGTTTTTGGTATTATTGATATGTTTTTTCATCTATAATGGTCTTTTTTTTTTTTTTTATGTCCATTTTTTTTAATTTAGTAATTTTTCTACACACATATATTGCTGCTTTTTTGATTTTTGCCTTTAAGGCGTTCATTCATTTTATATAATTATATAATGTATGTGTACATGAACTGTCCATTTAAATTTAATTTTTTTTAGCAAGCAAGTCATATTTTCTCATTTTGTACTGTATGGTTGGTGGTATTTAAGTATTATTCCTCTTACTGCACAGTTTTACTGACTGCATTGTGGTGCCTGTCATCTCAGGTGAGTGCTAGCACATAAAATTTATGGCCTCGATAAGATCAGTGGAATACACTCACTGGCATTTTAATTAATTCTTTACCAGATAACTATATATATTTTTTTTTATTGTGAAGCAAACAACAAATAGGACAAAATAACAGAAAAGGTCAATGTACATAACTATTTACCCCCCTAAAGTCAATACTTTGTAGAGCCGCCTTTTGCAGCAGTTACAGCTCCAAGTCTCTTTGGATAAGTCTCTATGAGCTTGCCACATCTTACCACTGGGATTTTTTGCCTATTCCTTCTTGTAAAACTGCTCCAGCTCCTTCAAGTTGGATGGTTTGCGCTTGTGAACAGCAATCTTTGTCTGACTACAGATTTTCTATTGGATTGAGGTCTGGGCTTTGCCTAGGCCATTCCAACACATATACATGTTTCCCCTTAAACCACTCAAGTGTTGCTATAGCAGTGTGTTTGGGGTCATTGTCCTGCTGGAAGGCGAACCTCCGTCCTAGCCTCAAATCAGGCACCGAGTGGTACAGGTTTTGCTCAAGAATATCCCTGTATTTAGCACAATCCATCTTTCCCTCAACTCTGACCAGATTCCCAGTCCTGGCTGCTGAAAAACATCCCCCACAGCATGATGCTGCCACCACCATGTTTCACTGTGGGGATGGTGTTCTCTGGGTGATGTGATGTGTTGGGTTTGCGCCAGACATAGCATTTTCTTTGATGGCTGAAAAGTTCAATTTTAGTCTCATCAGACCAGAGCACCTTCCTCCATACATTTTGGGAGTCTCCCACATGCCTTTTTCGCAAACTCAAAACATGACATTTGGTTTTTTGCTGAAAGTAATGGCGTTCTTCTGGCCACTCTGCCATAAAGCCCAACTCTATGGAGCATACGGCTTATTGTCGTTTTATGTACAGATACTCCAGTCTCTGCTGTGGAACTCTGAAGCTCCTCAATGGTAACCTTAGGTCTCTGTGTTGTCTCTCTGATTAATGCCCTCCTTGCCCGGTCCGTGAGTTTTGGTGGGCGGCCGTCTCTTGGCAGGTTTGCTGTTGCGCCATGTTCTTTCCATTTGGTTATGATAGATTTGATGGTGCTCCTGGGGTTCATCAAAGATTTGGATATTTTTTTTTTTATAACCTAACCCTGACTTGTACTTCTCAACAACATTGTCCCTTACTTGTTTTGGAGAGTTCCTTGGTCTTCATGAGATATGTCACACTGGGCCCTGCATGACTAAACAGCGCAGGAAGAGGCACTGTATGTTAAATTCTATATAAGGCAGGGCTCGATAAATCACAGTAGGAATTTTGTCCTGGCACTTGGCTGTTTGTCAGCCTGTTCAGCACTGGTCACCTTAGCCACCCTCCTCCCCCTCGAGGCAGGTGGCTGTGAAAAATGGAGGCGGGCGGCGAAGGAGCTGTAAACATCAAGCTCTTCTTGCTCTGTTCCCTCACACACCCTGCTATGATGCAGTGAGATGGGTTATGATGTCACTCTGGGCCCTGCATGACTAAACAGCGCAGGAAGATTACAGGATCAGAGCAGCTCCACTGAACCCTCAGGAAAGGATTAATTCCAGCTCTCCCAAAAGTAGGGAGGCAGGGTGGATTTAAACTATAATAGTGTGTGTGTGTGTGTCTGACTGTCAGTGAGTGTGTGTGTTTAGATCTGTCTGTGAGTATTGGTACTTAATTCTAAACATACAAGGGATGTGCATGGCCACAAAAAGCTAAGTGAAAAAACTGATACATTGCATGAAACATCTAGTGTGTCACATCATAATATATTCATTATTATTTATATAGCACCAGCAAAATTCCGTAGCGTTGTACAATGGGTGTTCTGCATAAGTTAAATACCCATGACATTTGGTTCTAGTCTTCTTTATTTGTAAATTGAATGTATTCCTGATGCAATCGTGTTTAACTATTTAGGTGATTGGCCCCTTTTCCAATCAAATGGTAAAGGTATTATTTTACTCCCTTTTTTTCCTATGCCGCAACGGGCTCACTCAGGCTGGCTACCTCTACATGACTGAGCTAATCTATCTTAATGATCTCAGCCAATCCAATGCTTTTCCATAGGAAAGCATTGGGAAGCTATTGCACAGGCGCGGCAAAACGTCACACCAATCAGCATCTCCTCAGAGATGCACCGATTCAATGAGGAACATTCAGCACGTCCATGCAGAACGTGGAGACACTGAAGTAGATGTTGCACACTATGCTGTACTGGACTAGGAAGCACCTCTATTAGCCATCTGAGTGACTGCCACTAGAGGTGATACTAGGCAGCAATATAAAAACACTGCTTTTTCTTTGAAAAGACAGTATTTACATCGAAAAGCTTACAGGGACTGACTATAGAAGCAACTACATTAAGCTGTAGTGGGTCAGGTTACTATAGTGTCATTTAAGACCTGTTATTTTTGTCATTGAAAATAAAGCTTTGTTGGCTAAAAACCTGACTACTAACGTTTTGTTTTTTTAGCTGGCTCCTAGATTTAATGCAGTTTTGTCAAGGGAAAACATTATAATCTGTGGGTGCGTTATGTCTCCAGAATTCCTCAGTGACATTTTTTTACTACAATATACGCTTCATCAGTATTTCTCTCATTCTCAGTCCTTACTCTACATTCACCCTTTAACCTAAAATTCTGCCCTCAGTAGCAAATTTCTGAAACCCCTGCATAATGCATTTAAAAAAAATTATATTTGACAAATAAAAGAATATTACATTTCAATGCCCCTAGTTCTTTCAGTTGTTTTCATTAAGTGAGATGCCATTAACACATGTGCATGCTGCTGCCATTAACCGTAAATAAAACTGCAGCAATTCCAAAACTTTATTTTGTTATAATTCCCAATAAAATCAATGACATTTTAGCTCAAGAACCTTAATCGTGTAAAATGATAATTACGAAACACATAATCTCTGTGGCATATACAGAATTCAGTATATATACATTCAATATATGCCAGTGAGATTATTTCTTTGTTTTTATTATAATCACTGCATACTTATCAAGTATTATATTTTGCCATCAGTTTTCTTTTTTGGTCAAATGACCAGGATTAGTGTCTACATGGCAATTTGTATACCGTGTTTCTCCGAAAATAAGTCCGGGTCTTATATTAATTTTAGTCACAAAAAACACACTAGGGCTTATTTTCAGGGTAGGGCTTATTTATTTACGGTACCGGTATGTACATTGAACCCCCCTTTAATTAATCCACCCCCCTCTTTAATAAATCCACCCCCCTCTAATTAATCCACCCCCTCTAATTAATCCTGCCCACCCTTTAATTAATTCACCCCCTCTAATTAATCCAGTCCACCCTTTAATTAATTCACCCCCCTTTAATTAATTCACCCCCTCTAATTAATCCAGCCCACCCTATAATTAATTTAATTAATTCACCACCCCTTTAATTAATTCACCCCCCTCTAATTAATCCAGCCCACCCTTTAATTAATTCACCACCCCTTTAATTAATTCACCCCCTCTAATTAATCCAGCCCACCCTTTAATTAATTCACCACCCCTTTAATTAATTCACCCCCTCTAATTAATCCAGTCCACCCTTTAATTAAATTAATCCAGCCCACCCTTTAATTAATTCACCCCCCTCTAATTAATCCACCCACCCTTTAATTCTTTAATTAATTCACCCCCTCTAATTAATCCAGCCCACCCTTTAATTAATTCACCACCCCTTTAATTAATTCACCCCCCTCTAATTAATCCAGCCCACCCTTTAATTAATTCACCACCCCTTTAATTAATTCACCCCCTCTAATTAATCCAGCCCACCCTTTAATTAATTCACCCCCCTCTAATTAATCCAGCCCACCCTTTAATTAATTCACCCCCCCACCCCCTTTAATTAATTCAATTAATCCCAGACATAAAATATCTAGCGGTACTCACATTTCAAAGATTCCTTGCCGAGTCCGACCACTGGGAGCCTCACCGCCCGGAAATGGATCCTTCCGCTGAAGATCCGTGAAGGCAGACTGACGGCGCTGCAAAATGTCGTCATCACGTTGCGCGACGCTCCTCCTACAGCAGAAGAAGGAAGTCTCGCCGCAAAGGTACAATGCCTAGGTCTTATTTTCGGGGTAGGGCTTATATTGCAGCCCACCCCGAAAATCCGACTAGGGCTTATTTTCGGGGTAGGGTTTATTTTCGGGGAAACACGGTAGTAACATCCCCTGGATGTTGGGCAAAAGTAACCTCCTCAGTACGTACTTGGAAACCAGAGAATATTTGAATGTACCTTTCCTGGTTAAATACTTTGTTGTTGTTATTAAGTCATATTATTAAGCTTTATTCATTATCATTATACATGATTAAGATCATGGAGCTAAAACACTGGGAAATATGGTGCAATAAAGTTTTGTAACATTTATAGTGTCCATTTGCTGCCCGTACTATACATTTACTTCATGATGGGTCCACAGTCCTCTTGGAACGTTATGCCACAGGGCTGTGTTCTGTGTGCAGAGTCCTACTATTTTGTTAGTAATGAGGTGGATATAGGTGATTTTAAAAAATATATACCTATACCTATGAACCATCATAATACTAATTCATGTTTGTTAGTTTTTTAAATCTGCTTCAAAGTTGTGTTTAGAATGTCTACTTTACAGGGACACTATATACACTTTGTATTTGTTCTGGTGAGTATAATAATTCCCTTCAGCCATTTTTAGGCAAACACTTCAGAGAAAAGGTAGTGTTTACATTGCCCCTTAGGGACACCTCCAGTGGCCATTCTTCAGATGCCATTCAGCATCTGAAGAGTGTCTCTGCATGGAGAAACTACATTTTCTTCATAGAAATTCATCTCTATGAGGAGGTGCTGTTTGGCCCTGCCCTATCCCACCTCCTTGCCGATTTCAGGCAATCCTGTGCTTTACCTATGAGAAAGTATTGGATTGGCTACAAATCGTAAATTCTGATGTCAACAAGGAGGCGGATCAGTGTTGGGACCAGCATCGGCAGACCCGCGCAGTGCTGGAAATAAGGTGAGTTTTAACCCCTTCTAAGGGGGGCCTAAATGGTGGATTAAACACTATAGGGTCAGGACTACATGTTTGTGTTCCTGACCCTCTAGTGTTCCTTTAACAGGAAGACAATTAAGCACCTTATCTATAGTACCATAGAAATCTTTCTATGTCACATGACCAGTCAAGTTATAATGATTTTACAAGCGTTTTCCCTGTTTGATTGCAGAAACATTATTTAGTCACATTGTGAATCTTCACAGCTGTAACATTACTAGTTTAAAATGTGTTCAACTGAACTATACCCCAGCATGTTTTGGAACATTCCTTGCATAACTGATTAGTCCACCTCTCTCCTGGGATTACCTTTATTCTGTTGGATTCCTACCATCTGCTCTTGTGCTCCCCCACATAAACTGGAATCTTAGCAATGCTGCTCCTTTTAGTGATGGAAGAGATATCAATTTATCATCCTATCTCTTGGCTGTTCCTGTGTGTGTGCTGTCATGTGAAGCACATTATTTGTTTGAGACACCCAAAGTCAGGTTCATGTAAAACCGTTGTTTCTGATTAAACCCTTTGGAAATCCACAGGGCACATACGAGGGAGTCACAAATGATTTCATCATTCCGTGAAAATTGGTAAAAAATAAATGGTCTTGGTATAATTAAAATTGTTGGGGTTACACCTACCTCCTCCAAATACTGCCATGGACGTGTAATGTCTTTCATGTTTCAAATACAGAGCACCGACATGTACAATATATATATATATCTCCATCCAACGCGTGCTCTTTTTATTTTATAAACGCATCACTCCTTTATCTTATTTTTCTTCTGTCTGTTTTTGAAGAGCTCACTATGATATTTGAACTCTAGATGTATTACTAGTTTCTTGTGTTTATCAGTGGTGGCTGGTGAAATTTTAAGACTCGTCCTTTGTGTACTCAACCAATAAAGGTAGTTCCCCATACAATACACATGGCTAGGTACATTACAGAGATACCCAGATAATGCAAAGGATTCTGTCCAATAAGGAGATACCAATACAATACCCAGGGCGAAGGGTAATGCATACTCATACAATGCACACAGCTGGGCACAACACAAAGAAACCCATGAAATACAAAGAGCAAGGTAGACTACAGAGACACCCATACAACAAGTAGAGCTGAACAAAATACAGAGAAATAACACACAAAGCTGGGTAGATTACATAGATACCAAACAACATGTAGAGCCCCGCCCGGGCCCCACGTGGAGCGGCGAAACTGCCGCAGGTGCATCTGCACCGGGGCCCATCAGGTGGCCCAAGCATTTAGGGGCACCCGATGGGCCCTGTATCCTAAGGGGCCCGGTCAGCGCTGCGCCGGGTGATTGCGCGACCGGGCCCCTTTAAAAAACAAACAAAAAAACACTGCAAGTGCTGCTGGGAGGAAGTGACGGCCGGTCACTTCCTCCCAGCTTACTCCGCGCGGGGGGAGAGCGGAGGAGAGGACAGGACAGGGAAACCAGAGGCATCCACTCCCATCATCCCCAAGGTAAGAGGAAGGTGGCTGATAAATGAGGTGTGTGTGTGTCTGCAAGTATGTCAGTATGTGTGTGTGTATGCCTGTCTGTGTGTGTATGTCAGTATGTATGTCTGTGTGTATGTATGTCAGTATGTATGTCTGTGTGTATGTCAGTATGTATGTCTGTGTGTGTGTGTGTGTGTGTGTATGTCAGTATGTATGTCTGTGTGTGTGTGTGTGTATGTCAGTATGTATGTTTGTGTGTGTGTGTATGCCAGTATGTATGTCTGTCTGTGTGTGTGTGTATGCCAGTATGTCTGTCTGTGTGTGTGTATGTCAGTATGTATGTCTGTGTGTATGTCAGTGTATGTATGTCTGTGTGTGTGTGTCTGCAAGTATGTATGTCAGTATGCATGAATGTCTGTGTGTGTGTGTCACTCTTTCAGTATGTATGTCAGTATGCATGTATGTTTGTGTGTGTGTATGTCAGTATGTCTGTGTGTATCTGTGTGTGTGTCTGTGTGTGTATGTATGTATGTGTATGTATGCCATTATGTATATATGTCAGTATATATTTATGTGTATGTATGTCTGTATGTCAGTTTGTATATATGTCTGTTTGTCAGTATGTGAGTATGTATGTACAACAGTGTGTGTGTGTATCTGTGTATGTATCTATATGTATGTCTGTTTCAGTATTTGTCTGTTAGTATGTGTGTATCTTTCTGTGTGTCTGTGTCCTTTTGTGTCTGTGTGTGTGTATTCCTGTGGGTGGGGCTTGGAGGCGGGCACACGGGGGCCCAGACCTTGAGCTGTGTTAGGGGCCCCACAATTTCTGATGGCGGCCCTGCCCCCACACCACCCTCAGCATCACCCTCCCTCACCACCCTCAGATGCTGAGGGTGGGGGAGGTGATGCTGAGGGTGGGGAGGTGATGCTGAGGGTGG